GCATCATGAACTCGTTCGTCAACGACATCTTCGAACGCATCGCCAGCGAGGCCTCCCGCCTGGCGCACTACAACAAGCGCTCGACCATCACGTCCCGCGAGGTGCAGACGGCCGTGCGCCTGCTGCTGCCCGGGGAGCTGGCCAAGCACGCCGTGTCGGAGGGCACCAAGGCCGTCACCAAGTACACCAGCTCCAAGTGAGGCGCGCCGCAGGCGCCGAAAACCCAAAGGCTCTTTTCAGAGCCACCTCCCAACTCAAAAAGGAGCATGCTGCCTGTTCTGGTTGTGTGTGACCTGAGATTCTTTCGGGTATTGAGAAAAATGGACAGCGCAATGGTGGGTCGCAAGTCCTGAGGTAAAACTAGGCCCCTTGTTCATAATGCCACAATTCCTAAAAAAAAAAAAAAAAAAAAAAAGACTTCCTGGATTAGTTTTGGTCACCGCTGAGAGCGGAGGCAATCTAGGCAATTGCACCTTGGACCTCATCCAGAGATCTGTAAGCGTGTGGCATGTACCTTGCATAGAGAGGGGCACAGGTCACCAGGAAGATCTTATGCCATTATTCCCTTATCTCTTGGGCCTCCTTGTGGGTGAGGCTGAAGGATGTCCTTGGTGAGGTCCTTGATGTAATTCTGTTGTGGCGCTTGGGGCCATCTTTTTCCTTGTGCCTGCCCTCCCTCCTTTGCCACAGTCTTCTGACCAAAAATAAATATTTCATCAGCATTGCACTTAAGCAGCTTTTGCAATACATTTCAAAACAGTGGGTGCACAAATCCTGGGCTCCATCCTCATCACTAAGCTAAAATCCCAATCCAGAGATTGATATTCCGTGTGTGTGAATATATGTGGAACCTGTAGACCAAAAGAGATCCTTTTTAATTAAACAAGTGTAGTACTGTTTTTAATATAGTAAGTCATAAGCAAAGTAAGTTTGATTGCTCAATGACACTAAACAACTAGGGCATGCTGGCCTGACTGGGTTCCAGGCTGTCCTAAAATATCCAATACCAGTGGTTCCCCAACCATGAAGAACATCTCAGAGCAACCCACCCCCCAAGAGCCTAAATATAGCCTGGGATCTGGATTTGCAACTCTGTTCCCACTGGTGAAAGATGTCCATATTCACATCACTGGTAACAGCTGTTCATTGTCAGTATTTAACCTCTTACTATGCAGCAAATGCATTTTTGTGACTGGAATAAAGGGACAAGTTTTTTTTTTTTTTTCCTCTCCAAATTCTTTGGTTTGCTCCAAAGAAGTATAATTAGCCAATTTATAATTTGCCATAATGATTAGCAAATTTAAATTGAAATTTCTAGCTGAGATGGATGAGAGGATGAATGCATTCTCTTACATGCATTTCAGACTGTGCCTGCAAACTCCCTCCAGTTCATTCTGGAACCTTAGTTTAAGAATTTGGCATCATTGGGACCAACAGTTAGCATAATGGCAATCTCACTGGACTCCCATGTAGCCAACTGCAGTTAGAGTACTGGACCCAGTGGCTTTAACTCATGCCGGGTGCATGTGCATGCGTGCGCATGCGTGCCCAAGATCCCAAGAGGAGAATGGAGGAGAAGGGATTGCGGTGTGGTCATCTTCCCTAGGGGGTGATTTCTCGCTCTCTATCTCTCTGTCTCTCTCTTTCTGGTGAGCATACAAGCCCTATAGCAAAAAACCTCTCCAAAAATATAAATAAATAAAATAATTTGGCATCATTGTTTTAAACCTAGAGAGTATATCCAATGTGTTTAGTGAGTCTGTTTCCTTAGCCTCTGCATATTCCCATATAGTTGATGTACAGACTTTACCTCTCCTTCAACTTAACATTTGTCTTTTTTGGTTGTAAGAATACAGGGGGCTGGCAAGTGGCATAGTGGTTAAGGCACTGGACTCCCATATGGACGACCATGGTTAGAGTCTTGGACCTGGTGGTTAGGTTTCTCAGTTTCTCTCTCTCCTTCTCTGGTCAAATTGAAAAACAATAATAATAATAAAATTAAATAAATAATTCTTTCAAAATATATAAACAGGCTCTGTATCCGTTTTCTCTCAATTTTCTTGATTATAAAATCTCAATAGCAAATACTCTGTTTAATTCCTTTGTCTTTCCCTTAACAGATTTGGTCCTAGGAAATAGGGACAAATACTGTTCACTCTAGACCTGGGGCTTACAAGTAGAGGCAGCATATTTTTATTTCAATCTTATACCAGAGGAGTCAGGACTGAGAAATTAATCAATGTTTTGTATTATCTTCAATTTTTTTTCATAGAATTATATCAGGAAATTATGAAATATTCATTTGGCATCTTGATTTTTATTTTTGGCCCTAAACCATGTTGTTGACTACTGCTAATACAATTCATCACATTTCTTTCTCTGCTGGAGGCCAGTTTCATTTTTATTAAACCTAAGTTATAAGCTTATTAAGGTAGAGGACCACATGTATGTGTATTTCACATGGCTGCAAATGCTCACTTAAGATATTGACTTCCAATCTATCCTGGTAGAAGGTTGGAAGCTTAGTCACCTATTTCAGAGTGGAAAGGACTAGATTTGATAGTTTTAGATACAAATCCTTTATTTCTTGAGATTTTCTTGACAAATCCCACTTACTTTTGATGATGAATTACTAAATTTGGGAATATTACTAAGAAGACAAGAAATTCAGCATAACAGCTAAGACAAAATTTCCATTTCTGTTTATTCTTGTAAATATTTTTCAGATCATGTCAATTATTAAAAAAAAAATGGAATTGCAGGTTATCATGGCATAAGTCTATGGGTCCAGAGGTCAAAGCAAGTAAAGGAGAGAGGAAGGTACCACCATACAGGTTATTAAAAGACCTGGGTTTGGGGGCCAGCAGATGGTGTAATGGTTACATCACTGGACTCCCATGTAGTTGACCACGGTGTGAATCCCAGACCCAGAGCCTTAAAACTCAGGCCCTATGTGTGAGCATGCCCAAAATCCTGAGAGGAGAATGGAGAAGAAGGAATTGCAGCATGGCCATCCCCCCTGGGGGGTGATTTCTTGCTTTCTGTCTCATCTGTCTCTCCAGTGAGTGCACATGCCCCATACAAAAAAAATCTTTCTCAAAACATAAAGACCCATATTTTACTGAAATTGTATTTTATAATTAGGTTTTGTTGTTGTTTTTAGAGATTTTCTCTATAGGGTGCGTGCACTCGCCAGACAGACAGAGACATAGAGACAGAAAGCGAGAAATCACCCCCCAGGGGGGATGGTCACGCCGCAATCCCTTCTCCTCCATTCTCCTCTCGAGATCTTGGGCACGCACGCACACACGCCCAGCATGAGTTTTAAGCCACCGGGTCCAGGACGCGAACCGCGGTTGACTACGTGGGAGTCCAGTGACATAGCCATTACGCTAACTGCTGGTTCCCATAATTAGGTTTTGATATCTGTTTTGAATAATTGTGTACAGCCAGATGCTTTTTTAAACACTAAGACTTTTGGCTACCTAGAAGCATGTTTAAATTTCAATTTACATCTTTTTTTGTAGAGAAAAGCAAGAGTTGAAACACTATTAAACATATAAAACATATGCTACATCAGGATGCAATTCTGAGGTAGAAAAAGAAGAAAATGAGTTCAGAGGAAAAAAGGATTATCTATAACATCTATTAAAGAAATTCATCATAAATGTTAATTATGTCCATCAAATCTATTTTCCAATAGACACCTTTAGGAAAAGTTTTCAGTTAGTAATAATCACACCTCAGATAAAGCTCATTGGCTACCATATTGTCACTGTGCAAAGCTCCAATAGGTACATACCTTTAAAAGACTGACATCACATTTTAAAATGCCTTACAATACCAACTTTATGTACAGTTTTCACATTTTTTAAATAGTGGACCCACCAGGGATGTGGGGAATGTTACTGACACTGAAGCCTAGAACCATCGTGTATGTCCTTCCCGCTGAGACCACCCAGCCCACTCGCCCCAGCCGGGGTATGCGACTGATTCCCTTTGGATAGATTATTTGGAAAAAGAAATCTAAAAAGCTGTTGTTTTATTGAATTTTATTGAATTTTTATTCCTGGCCAGACATGACGACACAAATTCAGTACTTCTGATTCTCACAACAGTTCAAAGAAGTCATTAGAAAACCTCTTCATACAAATAATGAATGCCAAGCTGTGAAACACGTTAAGCGATGTCCTTTCCAGAATAGACTCTTCATTCCAAAGCGCTTTTCCCTGAATCAAAATGGCACTTCCCAAATAAATGCTGAAAATTCTGTGTTACTCATGCTTCACAGGAAACAAAAACCTCAAATGTAGCTGAAGGCGGAGTAAATTACATTCGCTCAGAAAAAGGAAATTCGCTTTTTGAATTAACCCCTATCCGCGCCCTGCCCCCTCCCCCCCTCCCGCCCCTTAAAGATTAAAGCTACTGGCAAGCGGGGTCTCTTACTACATCCGGCTCCCACGCACAGGCCACTGCGTCGTCACCACTCTTGTTTTCCTTTAGCTTTCAAACACCTTTCCACTGTAGGATCCTGCCAAGACAAGTATACTCCCCAAACGTTCATGTCTTGGGGATAAAGATGTCTGTCTGGTCCGGCAAGGGTGGAAAAGTCTTAAAATGTAGAGCCAGGCGCCACCGCCAGGGAAGCACGACAACACAGGGCCTCACTAACCTCGTGGTCTAGCGCACCCCTGGCCACGAGGAGATACAATGGGCAAAGGGGAGGTAGGCACAAGGTCTTCTAGGGAGGGATGACCCACACACCACACGGGTGAAGACGACGCGGGGGCCAAGAATGTACCAATTTATCTACCAAGGGCGTTAGGAACTAACTCCTGCGCCGCCTCATGGTGTTTTAGCGGCTCTTTACCGAGGCAGAGGCGGACACGGGGTCCTTCACCACCACCAAACGTTACAGCGCTTTATCGCCTGGCCTCCTCCGACCACATTTGCCCTTCTCTCCGTCCTCACGCAGACCCAACGACAGCCAGTAACCAGGGAAACGAGTGCACATTGAGTATTTACGTAGCAACCTTTAGCCGTGTTCGAAACTCTTTCTCGATCGTGTGGGTGGCTCTGAAAAGAGCCTTTGGGTTCGCGGCGCCTGCGGCGCGCCTCACTTGGAGCTGGTGTACTTGGTGACGGCCTTGGTGCCCTCCGACACGGCGTGCTTGGCCAGCTCCCCGGGCAGCAGCAGGCGCACGGCCGTCTGCACCTCGCGGGACGTGATGGTCGAGCGCTTGTTGTAGTGCGCCAGGCGGGAGGCCTCGCTGGCGATGCGTTCGAAGATGTCGTTGACGAACGAGTTCATGATGCCCATGGCCTTGGACGAGATGCCGGTGTCCGGGTGTACCTGCTTCAGCACCTTGTACACGTAGATGGAGTAGCTCTCTTTACGGCTGCGCTTGCGCTTCTTACCATCCTTCTTCTGCGCCTTTGTAACCGCTTTCTTGGAGCCCTTCTTGGGAGCAGGAGCTGACTTGGATGGGTCAGGCATGATGGCGAAAGCCTCTCGGAATGAAGCGAACTACCCTCACCGCAACTGTATTTATACGTCCTGTATTCAAATGAAGGATCAGGAATTGGTCACTGCTGATTGGGTGAAATGATGCCTTCATCTGCTCTGGGAAAGGCGTATGCAAATTAAGAGATGCTAAATAAATCTTTTTCTGATTGGTTAACATTTTCATCCAATCGGATGCTGCCTACTAGCCTACCTCCTGACAATATATAAGAACTCATGGGGCCCCACTCCCCCGTTACATCAAGCCTTGGTCTTTGATTTGCTCTTGGCTCTGTGCTGTGTTGGGAGATGTCTGGGCGCGGTAAGCAGGGTGGCAAGGCGCGAGCCAAGGCCAAGTCACGCTCGTCGCGCGCGGGGCTGCAGTTTCCCGTAGGCCGGGTACACCGATTGCTCCGCAAGGGCAATTATTCCGAGCGTGTAGGCGCCGGCGCGCCTGTCTACCTGGCGGCTGTACTCGAATATCTGACTGCCGAGATATTGGAGCTGGCGGGCAACGCGGCGCGCGACAACAAGAAGACGCGCATCATTCCTCGCCATCTGCAGCTGGCCATCCGCAACGACGAGGAGCTCAACAAGCTGCTGGGCCGCGTGACCATCGCTCAGGGCGGCGTCCTTCCTAATATCCAGGCTGTGCTGCTTCCCAAGAAGACGGAGAGCCACCACAAGGCCAAGGGCAAGTGAGGTCGGCCGCCCTTGGGGGGACCCTTTTACGGACATCAAAGGCTCTTTTCAGAGCCACCTATTGTCTCAGTAAGAGAGCCGCACTGAACTTGCAGCCATTTGTCCGCCGGAGGCCGAGTTCTGTCATCCACATGAACATGTGCATCAGCGGTAGGGACCGGCTCTGGGAGAAACTGGGGGCCCATTGGACTGATTGTATGGTGGCAGGCTGGACGGAGTGTTCCGTTCCCGGGAAGGGAAACTCGTCCGTTTGGTAATCACCCCTTGCTCTTGAGTCTCTTCCAAAACCTCTAGGAGGGTTTAATATCGCCCACAGTGAAGGTGTCCTCATGATTACTAGCGACTACTTACCTTTGACTCCGGAAAGGGTTTGTGTGTGGATGTTAAGCCCAGAACGTGTTTTCTCCTCCCAGGGACAAACGGGTCGAGACAGCCAGTATTAAGTGTAATTTATGAATTTGACATTGTGAAAAATAAATCTTGAGATCTCTGTTCGAAATGTGTGTGAGTGCTTTGAATGTTGCAATTGTAAAGTTTAACCGAAAATGAGGTATACTGGAATGAGGATCTAATTTATCCTGTTTAGAATTCTAACCATCTTGGAAAAGGCTTATTTGCTAGAGGCGCTTTCAATACCTAAAAAAAACACGTTATCTCTTAAAAGGTGTAAACGTTTGTAGGAGACAATTGGGAATAAGATATTTAAAAGAATTTGAGTTGTTGAAGCATTAGTCAATCTCCTTAAATTGTTTAAATCAGAACAATGTAACGTATCCATTTAAGTTGATGAGGAAAATGGAGGTTTGTGAATTTAGCAAATTTTAAATGAATATTGTTAGAGCCAGACTATATATATTTTTCAACAAAGATAATTTCATATACTCTACATTGTCATAAAGTAGAGTTGGAAATAGATGCACCTTGGCAAAACAACTGAGAAAATGGGATTACTAGTAGTATCTACTTAATGGGGGAGGGATTCAGTGACTTGATACAAGATAATTCCTTTATTAAAAAATTCCCACCAGAAAATCAGAACTCAGTGTAACCCTTATTCCTGTTAACATTATTCTTATTTTTATAACAATATTTTGTGTTTTAAATAACAAATATGGGCTAGTAAAACAGTTCAGAAATATTATATATTCTACTAAGATTGGAGCTAATCACAAATCTGCTTATCTATAGAAAATATCCCAGTGTTCACATAAAAAATGAATAAGCAATTGTTCTAACCATGTGGATCTAAAAACAATATCTGAGAAAAGTCTATAGTTGGTGCAACACATGAATGGGCACCGTTTCACCCAGGACTTAACAAGAGAGTATACATAGCGCGTGGATATATCTATTCATGATATTTCTAATGAGAACCTTCAATTCTAGCTTAAATTTCTATGTATGTACTTATAGATAATGTTGTTCACTCTATCTCCTCAAATCCTTCAGTGATATTTAATGTATCAGCATAGGTTTCCAGATTTTTTTTTTTTTAATTACTTGAGTGGGGTGTTAAGAGAAGCAGCTTGGTGGGAAGTCCACTTGGAATAGCATTTCATGTCACCTCTAAGGCTGAGCTATTCAATGATTCAGTGCATTACAATACACCATAGGAGCTATTTACTTTTCAGTTAATTAAACTTTAATATGAAAATGTTGTTTCACACTGGCCATATTTGGCCAGGGATTACCATATTAGCACATGTGTAGGATGTTTCCATCATCACTGAAAATTCAATGAGATGGCTTTGGTTTAACGTCTGGTCATCTATCAGGTTCAGAAATGAGGTGGAGGGACCAGCAGTTAGCATAATGGCTATGTCGCTGGACTCCCACGTAATCGACCCCGAGGTTCACATCCTGGACCCGGTGGCTTAAAACTCACGCCGGGTGCATGTGCATGTGTGCCCAAGATCCCGAGAGGAGAATGGAGGAGAAGGGATTGTGGCGTGGCCATCCCCTCTAGGGGGTGATTTCTCGTTTTCTGTCTCTCTGTCTCTCTCTGTCTTTCTAGTGAGCGCAAGCGCCCTATAGCAAAAACCTCTCAGAAAAAAAAGAAAAAAGAAAGCACTGATTGACGCTGCAGAGATGAACTTTGAAAATGTGATGTTAAGTGAAATAAGCCCAGATACAACAGGCCACATATAGTATTTATACATGACATGTCCAGAATAGGCAAATCCATAGAAAGCAGTTTAGTGGCTATCAGGGGCTGGAGGAGAGAAGAAAAGGGGATGACTGCTTAATCACTACAGGGTTTCCTTCTTAGGTGATGAGAATGTTTTGGAACTAGAAGTGGTGGTTGCACATCACTGTGAATGTACTAAGTGCCCCTGAATTGTTCATTTTAAAATGGTTCATGTGAATTTCACTTCAATTTTTTAGAAGTCCAAACCTAAATGAATGTGTACCAAATAATAATAAAAATTAGTAGGACAAGGAGAAGAAAAAGAGATCTACCAAGCCTGAAGTCAAAGAAGGGCCCGTGGACAATGTAGACCCGGTACCTGAGAGGAGAGAGAGATCCATTCTGTTCCTTTCCAGAATGCTGCTGGTCTACTGAGGTGGAGCTGTTGCTGCCCTTGGAGACCATGTGGGAAGAAAGTGACTCTGGGCACACAGTGTATTGCTCCAGACATAGCTGTGGCAGGCAGTCTCAGCTGGGCTCTATCTACCATGTTCTGTGGGAGCACTGTGGCCTTTCCCTGGCCCACTGCGTTACCCGCACCCTTTTTCAGCAGGAGTATACTGACCACTCTCCACACAGCTCTCTGGGCTGGAGTTTTATTGAGAATGCTGAGAAAAGGAGATACAAGGGTCAGTTCATGGCCTGTTGGTTAAGGGAGCCGGATCCCACATGGCTGACTGTGCAATTGGAGTCCCAGACTCAGCAACTTCAAAAACAAACCAGGGGGCCAGCAGGTGGCATGATTGTTAAGGCACTGGACTCCTACATGGTTGACCATAGTTTGGGTCCCAGATCTGGTGACTTACTCCTTCCTAAATTTCTCCTTCTCTCTCTGGTAAGAGCATGTGCCTATTAGCATATTTAAAAAAATAATAGTAAAATTAAATAAATAATTCTTAAAAATCAAACAAACGAAAAATCACACCAGGCATGTGTGCATGTGTGCCCAAACTCCCAAAGGGCAAAATGGAGAAGGGATTGCATCATAACCATACTCCATGGCGGTGCCTTCTCCCTTGCATTCTCTGGTGAGAACATAAGCCCTCCCGCAGATTTTTAGAAAGAAAAAGAAGAAAGAAAGAAAAGAAAGGTTGACAAAAAGAGATATGAGGTCCTGGTGGAAGAATGAGACTTGAACCAGTTTTGGAAATATCCATAGAGACAGCATTTACAATTTTGAGAATTCTCAGCTTGGCTTCTCTGTGTCACAGGTCTTTCTCTCCTGGGTATAGGTCTGTCCCCCTGGCTCCTGCTCCCTCATAGAGTCTCTCTCTGCTCTGCTGTGTCAATTCCCACAGGTTCCCCAATTTATTCAAGAATATCCCATCTCCAAAAAATTAAAAATAGAACTATCATATGATCCAGCAATCCACTACTGAGTATATGTCTAATGGACATGTAATTAATATGTTTAAAGGATATCTGCACTCTGGTGTTTACTGCAGCGTTATTCACAATAGCTGATATATAGAAACACATCCTGTCAGTGTATGAAAGGGTAAAGAATATATGCTATATATACATAGTGGATACATAGATGATCGACCCTTTAAAAAGAAGAAAATCCTATCATTTGTGGATGAACCTGGAGGACATTATGCTAAGTGAAATAAGTCAGGCACAGAAAGACAAATGTTGCATGATGTATTTTAATGGAACCTCTAGTAGACCCAACCCCTGACCCTCCATCTCTGGAGTTTCAAATGTTGAAATCAGAAGCAGAGAGCAGAATAATGGTTACCAGGACTGGGCCTGGATCAGGGGGTGGAGGAAGGCGGGGGATTAGAGAGATGTTTTAAAATAAGAAAAAGAATCTCCTGAAAAAAAAAAGAAAAGAAAAGAAAAACCACCCTCCTAGCCTCAGTTTGTGTGACCCCTTTGGCACTGGATCCCACGTGGTCAACTCCAAGGTTCCAGTCTCAGACATATCAGGTACATGAGCATGTGTGCACCAGATCCCAAGAGAATGGTGGAGAAGGGATTTTAGCATGGCCATCCCTCCTGAGGGGTTATTTCTCACTCCCTCTCTCTGTCTCTCTCTGGTGAGAGCACAAACCCTATGACAAAAAATAATCTAAAAAAAAAAAAATGAGTGGAGGAGTGATATAGGAAAACAAGTTTGGGTTGTGCTGAACTTGTCGTTGTTCCCATGTATACACTGTCCTGTCCCATAGCAGGCCCATCAATAAGAGTTGGCTTCTGGCCTGCCCAGAGTTTCTGGTTTTTCACAAGCTTCAGGTCTCAGTGATCAAGTGGGATACTGGCTCAGCCAGCAAATACTCCTGGCCTCCACCCATGTTCTTCTCTTTCCAGGTCAGCTACACCCCACTGCCTAGGTGCAGCTGTTTCTGGACAGGTGACTGGGGATGTCACATTCATGGTGTTTCCTGGCCTCATTACATTGGAGCTGGCAGTGGCCCATCACAGTGCATTGCCTTGGGCTCATGGCTGCCTCCATCACCCAGTGAATTCTCAGCTATTTTCCACACTTTGCCACCTGCTGGCCCAATCCTTTCAGTTCTCTCCTGGAAAATAAGACATCAGACCCAAACAACGTCTGGTGGGCCTGTGGGCCTGCAGTGGGAGCAGGGCTTTCTAGATAGCAGGTGGCTGGTGAACAGGCTGATGTGAGCTCACGGACATTCTCTGCCCACCAGCAGATCAGTTAGGGAGGAGCAGTTCAGAGGACTGAGGGGTTATTTCTCACTCCCTCTCTCTGTCTCTCTCTGGTGAGAGCACAAACCCTATGACAAAAAATAATCTAAAAAAAAAAAAATGAGTGGAGGAGTGATATAGGAAAACAAGTTTGGGTTGTGCTGAACTTGTCGTTGTTCCCATGTATACACTGTCCTGTCCCATAGCAGGCCCATCAATAAGAGTTGGCTTCTGGCCTGCCCAGAGTTTCTGGTTTTTCACAAGCTTCAGGTCTCAGTGATCAAGTGGGATACTGGCTCAGCCAGCAAATACTCCTGGCCTCCACCCATGTTCTTCTCTTTCCAGGTCAGCTACACCCCACTGCCTAGGTGCAGCTGTTTCTGGACAGGTGACTGGGGATGTCACATTCATGGTGTTTCCTGGCCTCATTACATTGGAGCTGGCAGTGGCCCATCACAGTGCATTGCCTTGGGCTCATGGCTGCCTCCATCACCCAGTGAATTCTCAGCTATTTTCCACACTTTGCCACCTGCTGGCCCAATCCTTTCAGTTCTCTCCTGGAAAATAAGACATCAGACCCAAACAACGTCTGGTGGGCCTGTGGGCCTGCAGTGGGAGCAGGGCTTTCTAGATAGCAGGTGGCTGGTGAACAGGCTGATGTGAGCTCACGGACATTCTCTGCCCACCAGCAGATCAGTTAGGGAGGAGCAGTTCAGAGGAGGATCAGCTGTAGGGTCAGCTAGAAGGTCAGGAGTGGTCAGTGGATGGCCACGGATGGAACTGGCCAGTGGGTCAGGCTGTCAGATGGTGGGTCTGATAAGTCAGCAGTAGGTAAGCTGTGGACCCATGGACTCCTGAGACTCCACCAGGACAGCACACTGTCTCTCATGCCATTTGATGGGTAAGTCACAAGACCAGCTGAACTTGGGTTGTGGATAGACAGTCTCCAATTCCTGATGTTAAGAGCTGAAGGCCATACAGGTCTGGTGGGAAGTCTCTCTGACATCACCACTGCCCACTGGTGGCTCCACCCTGAGTCTTATTAATTTCTCATGATGGTCATCAAGCTACAGCATCAGTGAGTCCCAAATGTCATTAATGGCAGATGTTCTCCTAGAACTCCACACTTATTTGCACCTGCTTTATAGTTTCACCCATTAGAGGTGGCTTGATTTCACTCTGCATCAGAATCACACAGGAGGTTTTCCATTCCCCCACACCCACTCCCACCTGGTATCTCTCTGGTTACTAAGTAAAATAGACAAAAACTGCCCATCTTAGTCCATGCGGGCCACTATAACCAAGTATCATAGACTGGGTAATTTATAGACAACAGAATTTACTGTTTACAGTTTCTGGTGACTAGAAGCTCACACTTAAGATATTGGCAAATTTGATGTCTAGTGAAGGCTCTCTCTCTTTTTTTTTTTTTTTTTTGGAGAGCTTTTTGCTATAGGGCGTGTGCGCTCGCCAGAAAGACAGAGAGAGACAGACAGAAAGCGAGAAATCACCCCCCAGGGGGATGGCCAAGCTGCAATCCCTTCTCTATTCTCCTCTCAGGATCTTGGGCACGCACAAATAAGTGCCCAGCATGAGTTTAAGCCACCGGGTCCGGGACTCGAACTGCGGTCGACTACATGAGAGTCCAGCGACATAGCCATTATGCCAACTGCTGGTCCTGAGGGCTCTATCTTACAAATATGGCATCTTTGCTGTGTCCTCACATGGGATGAGAGGTGAAAGTCTCACTCAAATCTCTTCTGTGAGACAGCTCACTGGCCTCTTTCTTTTCATTTGCTATAGGGTACATGTACTTACCAAAGGCAAGGGGAAAGGGAGAAGGAGTGGGAGAAAGAGAAAGAGAGAAAGTGAGAAAACACACCCCAGGAAGATGGCCATTCCACAATGCCTTCTCCTCTTGGGACCAGCGACTGGCGTAAAGGTTATGTCACTGGGCTCCCATAGAGTAAACCACGGTTCAAGTCCCAGACCCAGTGGCCAGGCATACACGCGTGTGCATGTGCGTGTGCGTGCGCGTGTGCATGCCCAAGAGCCCGAGAGGAGAATGGAGAAGAAGGGATTGTGGCGTGGCCATCCTCCCGGGGAGTGATTTCTCGTTTTCTGTCTCTCTCTCTCTCTGTCTTTCTGGCAAGCAATGTGTCCTATAGGAAAAACCTCTCCAAAAAAGAAAGGAAGGAAGGAAGGAAGGAAGGAAGGAAGGAGGGAGGGAGGGAGGGAGGCAGGGAGGGAGGCAGGGAGGGAGGAAGGAAGGAAGGAAGGAAGGAAGAAGAAAATATTGAGTCAAAAATTGGGAGGATGGTGTGTAGTGTCCTACCACTAGGTACTGCCTGCCTGACTCAGCACTGTAAGTGTTTAAGGCCCCACCAGATTCATTTCCACAAGGGTGAGACCAGCACACTTGGATTTTGACTGGGAGAATATTTCAAGAAAAGATTAGGAATCCAGAAATGACACCCTCCCCACTGACCCCACCCCCCAACCACCCACACACACACACACACACACACACGCCCACTCCTGCAGGCTCTGAGACTCACAGAGCAATTTCAAAGAGGCCACCAAAAGATCAAACATAGGGCTATTTTGCTGAAATGTAAAAACGAGATTTAGGTTTGATGCCATTTGGCACTCTGTGGCCATTTCCAACTAGTTCACTGAAGATGCCATGGCATGGACTGGGGGGGGTCTTTGGACTTACCGGTTTATATATTCATACATTAGAGGTGTCTTTTATTTATTTATTTATTTTATTTTATTATTATTATTTTTTTGGAGAGGTTTTTGCTATAGGGCGTGTGCGCTCGCCAGACAGACAGAGAGAGACAGAGAGATAGAAAGCGAGAAATCAACCCCCAGGGGGGATGGCCACACCGCAATCCCTTCTCCTCCATTCTCCTCTCGGGATCTTGGGCACGCACACACACGTGCCCAGCGTGAGTTTTAAGCCACAGGGTCCGGGACGCGAACCGTGGTCGACTACGTGGGAGTTCAGTGACATAGCCGTTACACTAACTGCTGGTCCCTAGAGGTGTCTTTTAAGACGCTCTGGGCAGGGAAAGCACGCAGACCCAGAACAACAGAGCCTAGCAAAGCAGGCCTTGTGCCACTGTGGCATTATTCCTTGTGACTTGGTCTTAGGGACCTGCGCTATGGAGTGCCCTGGAGGCAAGGAGTGCCCCTCTGCAGGAGTGTTGAGGTACTAGAGTGAGGAGATACAGATAGGAGCGTGAGAGTGCTGGGGTGCAGGAAAGCCAGTAGCCAGGGATGCCAGGTGCGAGGATTCCAGGATGCGAGATGCAGGGTTCAGGAGTGTTGGGACGCAGGAGTACTGGGTACAGGAGTGACTGAGTGTGGGGACCCAGGGATGTAAATCTCAGGCAACCGTCCCTGGAGACTTCTCCCCAGCTCCTCAGAAGCAGCGAGAGTGGTGGTTTTGTAGGCCCAAGCTTCCTGCATTCAATGGTTGAGATGCACTGAATAAAACGCTAAAGTCTTTGCTGCCTCATTTACTCTCGGGGACATTTCCTGATTGGTCAGTTCAAAAATTCTGGGCCTGACTGCTTTGGTTTCGAATTCTGCTCTCTTAGTCTTCAGATGCTAACCTCAGTGCTTTCACAGTGCTCAGAGTCCCCTTGGATCCTTTCTTTCCTGGGCTTAGAATCTCGAACATGCTCCTGATTTTACAGTTGTGTCACTGATTTCTTGCAAGATCGTATGTTCTCTAGAGGTAAGGGCTGCTATTTATTCTTTCTGAAAGTGAAGACATTTTGCCGCGTGGAGTCGTTCCCAAGTCCCCTTCTGAGGAGTAGGGGTTATAGGATACCTTTGTCCCTGGGCACTAAGGGTTAAAAAATATATATCCCTACCTCTCAGTCCCAGCACCAGCCCCTGGCAAAACTGGGGTTTCCTCCCATCCCTTCCCAAGTGTGTTTGTCCTGGGGATGTGGGGCTCTCATGTTTTGCTCACTATCTTCTGCTTAGACAGAGACTAACACGTCTGTATTGAGGACAGAATTCTGATTTTCCTATTCCAAAGTTGTTTCCAGGGGGCCTGGGAGAGTCGAGCCTACAAACATTAACAGAGGCCTGTGAACTTAAACAGACTGTTGAGAGTGAAAGCTACATCTGTCTCAGGCATAGTGCTTTTATGATGCACAGTAATGCACAGTAAGCCTTTTTGAGTAAAGCACAGACATGCTTTTGCTGTTTCTTTCAGGAAGAGAGACGTGTGTTTTTCTTTAACCAATTACTAACTGAAGAATTTCTTTTTCTTTTGTTATTGTAATTTTGTTTTTCTTTTTAAAATTAATTTATTTATTTACATTTAATCACATCTTTACAGTGTACAACATCACCTATAATCTACAAGTCTCCACTTCCAAATGTTCCACCTTTTGGGGCCAGGCCAATGTAAATGACTCCTTACCTGACTGACAACTCTCCTGCTCTCATAACTAAATAGGACAGTACATAATACACCATTAACTGCAGTCACCACGTATAATTAAGGGCAGCAGAGGCTTCAGCCACAGAAGAAATATTTTTTTTCTCCAGACCTAAGGTCACTCACTCAATCTCATGTTAAGCATAAACTGTATTATTATTTCTTCACAGCTTGATTATTTCCGTTGACAGTATCTAAATTTTATAACAGCATATGCTTAAAGAAGCAAAACATTCATATGTGCCAATGCTTTCCTTTTTACTAAAATCAATAAAAATTCCCCACAATTGTATTTCCATCTATTTATTGTCTTATTATTGAAACTATGCATGCTAACTTAACTCATTTTATGAACTAAATAAATTCTAATTAACTCTTATTGTTTTCACCTGATGCTCCAAGAGCCACACTGACCCTTTAAAGTGGCCCTTGCAGGACCAGCAGTTAACGTAATGGCTATGTTGCTGGACTCCCATGTAGTCGACCATGGTTCGAGTCCTGGACCCAGTGGCTTAAACTCATGCCAGGCGTGTGTGCGTGCGTGCCCAAGATCCTGAGAGGAGAATGGAGGAGAAGGGATTGCGGTGTGGCCATCCCCCCTGGGGGGTGGTTTCTCACTTTCTGTCTCTCTGTCTCTCTCTGTCTGGCGAGTGCACGTGCCCTATAGCTAAAACCTCTCCAAAAGAAAAATAAAGTGGCCGTTGCAAGGGCCAAAACATGGCGGAGCGGTTATGGTGTTGTACTCCCACATAGTCTAACACAGTTTGAGACCTGGATCCGGTGGCTTCAAACTCATGCAAGGCACATGTGTGTGCATGCCCAAGATCCCAGGAGGAGAAGGGATTAAGGTGTGGCCATCCCCCTTGCAGAGTGATGTCTCATTTTCCCTCTCACCGTGTCTGTCTGTCACTCTCTCTCTCTCCAATGAGTGCACACTCTAAGGCAAAAACCTTAGTTTGTCTTGTTCACTGTTCTCACTTTTAATAGTGATGTAGCTGTCTATCCTATGGAGATATAATGATCTTCAAAGTCACTGTGATAATTAGCATAGTCATTAATAAGAGCAGTGTGGAGGATTCCTCAAAAAATTTAAAATAGAACTACAATATGATCTAGCAATCCTATTTCTGGGTATTTAACCAAAGGAAATAAGATAAGTGTGTGGAACAGAAACTACATTCCCATGTTGATTGTGGCATTATTGACAATAGCCAAGATATGGAATCAACCTAAATATTCATCAACAGATTAATGGATAACAAAATACGATATTCCCTCTCACAGAAATTCTATTTAGCTTTGAAAAACAAAGAAATCAGGACCAGCAGATGGTGTAATGGTTATGTTGCTGGGCTCCCACATAGTTGACTGCCATTTGAGTTCTGGACCCCGTGCTTTAAAACTCTTGGGGGGCATGTGTGCTTGTGTGCCCAAGTTCCTGAGAGGAGAGTGAAGGAAAAGGGATTGCAGTGTGGCCACTCCCCTGAGGGGTTATTTCTCACTTTCTGTCTTTGTCAAGAAAAATCTCTCTTGAAAAAAAAAAAAAAAAAAGAGAGAAAGAAGGAAATCCTACCATTTGCAACAACACAGATGAACTTAGAGGACTTGATGCTAGGTGCAATAAGCTCAGCACAAAAAGACAAATACCACATGATCTTACATGTAGGTGGAAGCTAATAAAGTTGAACTCACAGAAATAAAGTAGAACGGCAGTCACTGGAGGCTGAAGAAGATAAGGAAAGAGGACAGGATCAAAGGACAAAATTTTAGTTATACAGGAAATGCGGGTTCAAGAGATCTATTGTACAACATGATGACTGCAGTTAATAGTGTATTATGGACCTGAAAATTGCTAAGAGGATAGATTTTAAGTGTTCTTACCACAAAAATGGTAAGTATGTGAGGTAAAATATGTTAATTAGCTTGATTTAGCCACTCTATAATGTATACATATGTCAAAACATCATGTTGAATGCCATAAGTACCTATAATTTTTATTTGATGATTTAAATAAGAAGGGGGGAAAGTCATTGTGATAATTGGTAGTCCTTGCATAATGATTTTCATGGCTCTTATCCTCAAATGAGGACATTTGTCTCGGTCACTTTGGGCTGCTACAACTAAAATGCCATAGTCTGGGGAGCTTAAACCACGAACATTTATTTCTCACTGTTCTGAAGGCTGCAAGTCCAAGGTCAAAGTGTCAGCAGATTCAGTGTCTGGTGAGGACCTACTTCTTGGTTCTATGGCACGTTCTTCTGTCTTCTCACGCTCTCTGGCTCAGTTTTATAAGGGCACTAAATCCATTTATGAGGGCTCCATACACATTGCCTTATCTAACCCTCTCAAAGACCCCCACCTCCTATACCATCTCATTGGTGATTAAGGCTTTGACAAATGAGTTTGGGGCAGAAACACAAACATTCCGTCCAAAACAGCATTGTAGAGACAAACAAAAATTTTCCTAAAACCAAAGGTTCAGTTATACCTTCTGATTCTGGTATGTTTCCCATATTGCTAAGGGAAACCCAGGAAAAGACTATGTTAGAGTTATTTTATTAAAAAAATACTGTGACTTGGGTCAGCGGGTGGTGTGGTAGTTAAACTGCTGGATTCCCACATGACTGACTGTGGTTTGAGTCCTGGACTTGGCGACCTGAAAAATCACAATAAATAATGTTTTTTGTTGTTGTTTTGCTTTGTTTTTACAAAAAGTACTTCAACTCTGGCATTGTTGCCACAGTTTTTCGGGCCCAAGTTCCTAAAGGTTGTGACCCTATTGTCATTTCTTCACATAAACACAGCAGAACTATTGATAGAACTCCTTAGATGCTGTCATAGCTACAAGTAGGTCAGCAAGTCTTATCCTTCTAATTTAGAGATTAATGCCATATGTACATAGTTGTCCACAGAATGTCACTTCTCTGTGCATCTGTGATTATTTCCTCCTCCATGTGGATTTACTCGACAAGAATCAACACTTGGGCTGACCCCATGGCATAGTGGTTAAGGGAGCCAGATCTCACATGGTCCACAGCAGTTCAAACCTGGCCCTGATGGCTTGAAAATATGCTGGGTGAGGGACCAGCAGGCGATGTGGTGGCTAAGGTGTTGGATTCCATACAGCCAACTCTGCTTTTCCAGTCCCAAAAAAGGAGTCCTGAACATCATGCTGGGTGCATATTCATACCCAAAACCCTGAGAGGAAAAGGGAGGAGAAGGTATTTCATAGCCATCCCCCTGAGGGGTGATTTCTCACTTTTCCTCTCTCTTTCTGAAAAGTTCTTCCCATCCTGACGAAGGGTAGGGAGAAGAGGAAAAAAATGAAGACTATGCAGGGAAAGATGTGAGCTTACTGCCTAGCTAGTCAGATCACCCGTAGACAAGCGGGCACCAGTTTTAGCTGGGCACCGCAAACAGGCTTGAATATAAAGCGCGGGTAACCCTGAGGAGCGCAACACAAGCCAATTACAACACAGCCAGACATCACGCCACATGGAGGCCAACCAATGGGAACTCAGCAGGCTCTATAAAAGTGGGCACAGAGCGCGGGTTTGCTGTTTGAAGAGCAACAGACTGAAGAATCTGAAGCATCAGAGCAAGTGACACTAGAGCGATGGCCCGCACCAAGCAGACGGCGCGCAAGTCTACCGGCGGCAAGGCACCGCGCAAACAGCTGGCTACGAAGGTGGCTCGCAAGAGCGCACCAGCCACTGGCGGGGTGAAGAAGCCTCATCGCTACAGGCCAGGCACTGTGGCACTGCGCGAGATCCGCCGCTACCAGAAGTCTACTGAGCTGTTGATCCGCAAGCTGCCATTCCAGCGGCTGGTGCGTGAGATCGCGCAGGATTTCAAGACAGACCTGCGTTTCCAGACCTCAGCAGTGATGGCGCTCCAGGAGGCGTGTGAGTCCTACCTCGTGGGACTCTTCGAGGATACCAACCTGTGTGCCATCCACGCTAAGCGTGTCACCATCATGCCCAAGGATATCCAGCTGGCACGCCGAATCCGCGGAGAGCGAGCCTAGATCCCTTGGTCACCTTGCCATAGTGCTCTTGTTACCCCAAAGGCTCTTTTCAGAGCCACCCACTTGAGCAGAAAAGTAGCTGTAACCAAATGGGTGGCCCCGTTTTGTAGTGGTCTCTCTTGAAGGACTTAGCTATGACTAGCTCTGTCCTCTTTGCTCTTTCTTTTCTTTTTAGTCCACCTGGCTTCACGTCCTATCTTTAGTTAGAATTAGTGTGCTGTGAGACCAGCAGGTGGTATAGCAGTGACATCACTGGACTCCCAGGTAGTTGACCTTGGTTTGAGTCCCAGACTTATTGGCTTAAAACAGACTAGGCGTGGGAACCAACAGTTAGTGTAATGGCTATGTCGCTGGACTCCCACGTAGTCGACAGCGGTTCGACAGCGACATAGCCATTACACTAACTGCTGGTCCCCTCTTTCTAACTAGAGAAGTCCACCTAGTTTCATGTCCTATCTTTAGAATTAGTGTGCTATGGGACCAGCAGGTGGTATAGCAGTTACATCACTGGACTCCCAGGTAGTTGACCTTGGTTTGAGTACCAGACTTACTGGTTTAAAATAGGTCGTGTGTGTGTGCCCAAGATTCCAAGAAAATAAAGAGATCACCATGTGGCAATCCCTCCCAGGGTGTGACTACTTGATTTGTCTCTCTAGTAAGCACATATGCCCTATAGCAAAATCTCCAAAAAAAAAAGTGTGCTGTGAGTTCAACATATTTAGGTTAGAAAGCTAGTGTGTAAAGTCTAGGTGGTAAAAAAGGGAACTTGGCCTAAATGTAAGTATGAGGAAGCCTCTAAATATTGAAGGAGAGTCTTGGCATGGACGTTTGCTGACCACTTTCCTTCTTTACTATTGTGGCCAGTTCTTTTTTTTTTAATTTAACTTTATTTATTAGTATATCATTATTATTTTTCAGTTTGATCAGAGAGAGAGAGAGAGAAAGAGGAAGTGAGAAAGCAAGCCACCAGGTCCGAGACTTGAACCGTGGTCGGCCATGTGGGAGTCCAGTGCCTTTAACCACCACGCCACTTGCTGGCTCCTGGGCCAGCTCTTTTTAAAAGTAATTTAAATTTGCTACATGCACTCTCCAGAGAGAAGGAAAATGAGCTGAGATTCTGTAGTTAGGGTGACTAGCAATGAGACAAATGGGGTGGTTTGGAGTAAGATTATTTTGAGCTAAAAGGACTTGAAAACAGATATAGAAAAAAGGTACTTTGAGCTTTTTTCCCCCTTTGAAAGTGGAAGATAAAACTTCCTTTTGAAAGATGCTCTCCCTATATACCAAAAGGAGTGAAAATGTTATGTCTAATGTGTTACTGTGAAGTATATATTTTCCTTTTCTTGGCATATGACTGAAATGCTTGGAATCTCCAAAGTGATAAATGTCTACTGATTAACTTGACAGTCACTCAGGGATGGGAGCTGGTCATTCAAAAGACCAAGGTGAGTTTAGGGAGATGGGACTTTCAGACCTATCCACCAACCTCCAGAGAAGAGAGAAAGATGAAGATTGAGTTGATCACGAGGAGTCATTTTTTCAATCAATCATATCTACTTAACGAAGCCTCCCTTGAAACCCAAAAGAACAATAGTCAAAGAGCTTCCATATTGTAGAATATGCAGAGGTTCCTGTAGGGTGCTATGCCAGAGAGGAAATGGAAGATCCATGCTCCTTCCCATATGCCTTGACCTATGAATCACTTCATCCATGTTCTTTGTACTATCCTTTGTAAAAAAAAAAAAAAAAAAAAAAAAGATTGGTAAACATGTTTCCCTGGATTTTGTGAACCTTTAAAAAAATCAGTTGAACCTAAGGAGAGGAATTCATGGGTCATGATTTATGGCCAGTCAGAAGCAAAGGGAAAACAATTTGGGGCCTCCAAATAGCTTTCTTTTTTTGAGAGAGAGATTTTTGCTATCGGGAGCATGCTCTACACAGACAGATAGAGACAGACAAAAAGTGAGAAATCATCCCTCAGGAGGTATGGCCACACTGCAATCCCTTCTCCTCCAGTCTTCTCTTGGATCTTTGGGCTCACACATATGTGTCTGGCATGTTTTAAGTCACTGGGTTTAAGACTTGAACCACAGTCTGGGTGGGAGTCCAGTGACATAACTGTTATGCCATCTGCTGGTCCCACAAATAGCATCTTAATTTGGAGAGTGAGGGCAGTCTTGGGAACCTGTGGGGTCTGGTGCTATTTTCAAGTAAACAGGTTGAGTATCAGCATTTAATCAAATGAAAGAACACTCAGTTGGTGTCAACTGCAGAAGTGCTTGCTCTTTTGCTGGTGGAGAGAAATCCCTATATACTTCTTGGTGATCAGAAATCTCAGAAGTCTTGTCTTCTGTGTTGTGTAACAAGAACAGAGAAAAAAAAAAACATTTTGTTTTTCTTACTAAATAGAGATGGAAACTCAAAGCCAAGAGAAATCTATAAATAAGCCTTGTTAAAAATTGTGCCTTGGGGCCTGTAGGTGGCGTGGTGGTTAAGGCTCTGGATCCCATATGGCCAACTCTGCAGTTCGAGTACTGGTCCCAGCAGCTTGAAAAACACGCCTGTAGCACTATGCCATGTGTGCTCAGAAATTCCAAGAGGAGGCCCAGCTGGAGGCATGGTGGTTAAAGAGCTCGACTCCCATGTGGCTGACCATGACTCAAGTCCTAGATCTGGTGGCTTGCTTTCTCACTTTCTCTCTTTCTCTCTTTTTCCTTCTCTGTCTTTGGTCATAATTTTTAAAGTGGTAATAATAATAAATAAAGTAATTCTAAAAAACAAAAAATCCCAAGAGGACAAGGGACTGTGGCATGGCCATCTGTCTCTTGGCAAGTGCACACAAGCTCTGACCAAAAAAAAAAAAAAAAAAAAAAATCAAGCCTTATCAGGAGTGGCCTCCCCATATATGTTACTATTTCACAAATTATAACTCTTTGTTCAACCTAGTATAGAAGGACTTAGGCCTAACTACTTTTGGAGTCATTTTCCTGTGAAGACTATGCTTTTCTCCTGCTAATCTATTTTATGTTGTCTTACTCTACTCAGGCTGCTATTTTTAAAATACCAGAAACTGGGGGGCTTATAAAGAACAGAAATTCACAGTTTTGTAGGACAGAAGTTCAACAGTGAGTTGTCAGATTCAATCTCTGGTAAGGGCCCCCTTCCTGTTTGCTAGAAGCCCCTTCTAGCTGTTCTTCCCATGGTTGAATGGGTGAGGGAGCTTTCTGGGTCTCTTTTATAAGGGCACTAATCCCATTAGCAATGACTCTACCCTTATGACCTATTCCCTTCCCAATGGCCCCATCTCCTAATACCATTACCTTGGGGGTTAGGATTTCAACATCTGAATTCAAGAGAGGAGTCACAGTCTGTCAATAACCATCTAGTGTACTCTCCTGTTTATGAGTCCAGGTTGAAGTATATAAAGAGGTCATGAATACAGAATTCTGAATACAGCAAAGCTAGCTGAAGATTTATAGCAAATGAGCAGAGTGAAGGGGTCAGTGAATTTAAAATTCTTATGAGGAGACAAGGGTAGGAGATTCTTGTTAAACTAACCTATCAGGATTCCGTACTACATGCAAAGCAGGATGAAGAAAGGGCATAAGGATAAGGTCTAGTCAAAAAGAGAGTTCAGAGGTGCACCTGATTAAAGTTTGGTCAAGGAGGAAGTTTTTGTTATTATTAAGCCTGAATTGGTTCTAAGATTTTTTAAAAAAAAAATTATTTAATTTTATTTATTATTATTAATTTGATGAAAGAGAGAGAGGGAAAGAAAGCCACCAGGTACGCAACTCAAACTGTGGTTGGCCATGTGAAAGTCCAGTACCTTAACCACCATGCCATCTGCCAGCCCCCTCCTAAGACTTCTGATCTTGAATCTGTTCTAAGTCATGACCCCCTTGCCTCTGGTTTGTGGGACCTGAGGGAAGAGGTCCCTCACAACACCAAGATTCCTTGGCCATATGGACATAATACCAAAAAATGATATCAAATGTTGTTCAATCTTTTCTATATTTTACTTCATAAATTACTACCTTTTAAGGGTTACAGGAATTCTGTCTATTTTCCCAAATGTTTTGAACATCACTGTGGAATGTGTAAACAACTACCCCCTCCCTCAGCTCCCAGAGTTGAGCTCAGTTTTATACAGAAATCTATTTCCTCTATTACAATAGTCCTGAATAAAATCTGTCTTCCCCACCTTAAACTATTGTATGGCTTCATTTACCTTTAACAATAACCTCTGAAGCAGATCAGAATGTTATCCCCAAGTCTACTACGTTGGCATAAGGATTATTTTGAGGTGGAGGAAACAGAAAAAACAAATACAGGAAGAGCTCTCTGCCTGCCCGTCTGCCAAAAAGCAAAACATAAATCCTTCTCATGAAGGTGTCCCCTCTCTTAGACCAAGAGAACGACCCTTATCATTGAAGACAACACTGAGATGGGTCTGTATAGATAAACCTTAACAAGTAACTATCATTCATTTCTCCATTCACCTCCCTATAATTTACCACCTAATGAGCCCAAACCTCTTTTGTCTAATCACTTCCCCACCATTTATCATCCTTGTTAAAATGGTATTTAAGCCTTGGGGCCAGCAGGTGGCATGAAGGTTGGGCTCTGGACTCCCACAAGGGAACCACTTCCAAGGACAGAGTGTATCTTGAGCCTATGACGGAACAGGGTAAGCAGAAAAATACTCATTCATATGTTCTCAGTGTGTTTCCTTGGGAGCCTACTAGATTGTGAAAACAGGCCTCTTACCACAGACAAGTTTTTTGGTCTAACAATGGCTTCCCTGTGGTGAGAGACTGAATGTATGTAAAAATTCACAATGGCCAGGACATCTACAAAAACAGAACTCTGATCCTTAATCTGCAGCAATCTGCCCAGGATGTCAACCCATTAGCCACAGAAACAAGTCCAGGAAACCAGCCTGCTGTAAATCAGACTCCTTAAGAAGTCAGATCACAGGACCAGCAGTTAGCGTAATGGCTATGTCGCTGGACTCCCACATAGTCGACCGGGGTTCGAGTCCCAGATCTGGTGGCTTAAACTCACACCAGGCGCGTGTGCATACGTACCCAAGATCCCGAGAGGAGAATGGAGGAGAAGGGATCACCATCCACCCTGGGGGGTGATTTCTCGCTTTCTATCTCTGTCTCTCTCTGTCTGGCGAGCGCACGCACCCTATAGCAAAAACCTTAAAAAAAAAAAAAAGTCAGATCACTATCTCTGACAACAAACAAGAAGTTAAATAATAATTCCTGTAACAATCAGCCCCAAATGGCCAAGACTTCATTAATAAGTGATAACGTTCCTAATTTTTACTCCTACTTCCAATTTAGGACCAAGCAGAGAAAGCCAAATCTGCTCTCCTAACCAAATCCATGAGATGCCCCATTCTAGGTAGTTATCTCCAGCTTGGCCAGGCCAACAACCTTCATCAGGGCTTCCATGAAACTATCCCCTTCTTCCACTATAAAGTTTTTTTTTCCATTCCTTTCCTGTTTTAGAGTCTCTGTCAAAAGCTCCTGACAGTGTCTGACTCCTTCATTATCACAATCTCTGAATAAACAGCTTTTGTCTGTTCCCATTGGGTGGTCACTGGGTAGGTGCATATTCAACTTTGTTACTTTGCCATATATTGGTTCATTAATCCTGCATAACAAGACAACTTTTATTTGCCATACATTTCCTCCTCTCCCCCATCCATAACCTGTCACTCCCCCTCTTACTTTTTGTAACTCAGAATGCTATATTTCTACCTATGCACAAAATTAAATTGGCCTTTCTCCTGTTATTATGTCTCATGGAAATTTTATTCATAGCCCAGCTAAAGAACATAAAAGGGTGGAAGGAAGCCATTTCCCCCTCCTCTAAAATAGTAAAAAGAGAATAGTCAAATATAAAGATAAAAATAAAGAGAAAAGAGAAAGTATTCTAATTTAAGTCTTAAAAGACCTCATCAGCTTGTTAAGATCCTGATTCAAACCAAATGTTTTAAACATCTGTGGCCAGATCTCTTCCCCCATAGCCAGGCTTCGACACTTGGAGCCAAGCCAAATTTTGGGGGCGCATTTCAGCCGACCCCCCCTTACATCCCCTTACAACAGGGCACCTGCTCCCTGCTACTTTGTCCCACCCCGCACTCTGCTGCAGACCTTCCAGAGACTCCCCCTTCAATCTCCTCCACCCACCTCCTGCCCTTTGTTGCTTGCCCTTCATCAACCTCTTCCACCTACCCCAATGGGGGCAGCATATGATGCCTCCCCCACCTCCCCTTTCAGCCCCTCTTAGTGGGGCACCTTTCCCTCCTGCATC